TTTTTTTTTTTTTAATTCCACAGTCATGAATTTTTTATCACTCTGCTATCTTCTAAACTAAGTAATCATTTCTCAGAGGCATGTTGTGATCTGATAGAATCAGTCTCTCTGGCCGAACTGAAAATCAGAAGGAATTGTCTTCAGCCAGAATGAGTGTCACATGCAAGCCCTGTGCGTCCACCATAGAGCAAGCCGTAATTTACAATATTGCGTCGCCGCCTCGGATCCCGTGGTGGCATTTGAGATACAGTGTTGATGAATATGCATATACAGGTGGTGTATGCATTTATGGATGAGCACACACCTTTTCACAGGCGCCGAAACTTTGACAGTCTTATCTGCACCCATACGGACCTTAGACTGCAAAGGCTCAGCTACGCTACATAATGTCCAATTTCTCAAACAACACCTTCTGCCGCACTTCATCTTGCCAGATTAATCAATTTGAACATCATCCTCACTCAGCCAGTGATAGGGAAGCATTTTCTACACAGGAATACAGTGAGGTGTATGCTATTCTCTTAGGTAGAGAGAGCTTCGGAACCAAGTTTGTTTCTTTATCTTTTTTTTTTAATTTCCCATTGTCAAATCATACACTTCAAGTATTCCAACTATAGATTTAAAACCTGCTAGTGACCTCCCATCGTGGCTTTTTACTCATGGAAATTAGTACTCTTTCAAGAGACTGTAATTTTAGAAAGCAAAAATATGCATTATATGTGTGTGTATAGAGACATAGTACAAGCTAATTTATGGGTTTTTAAGAGAGAGGTGTCTTTAAGAAGGGTTTTAGGACTATAATAGACAAATGGTGACAACCATAATTAAGTGCAAAGTAGGAAAACATTATTTTCAACAGCATGGTGCTTTTGCGGCCCCAGTCTGGGATTCAGATGGACCATCCACTTTCTAATTGTCTCACTGCCCACTGTTTACTTTTGTATACAACAGATTTAGCTCATTGTCTCCAGAACTATCAGTGTAACATAGATTCATTCTCTTCAGCAGTTAAATAGCAACACCCCTCCTGGGAATCCTGAATGAATGCATTTTGGGGTCTTTGCAAAATACCCTGAAAATTATAGAAAGACAAAGCAGAGGTGACCGTGGCGCGCACTGACTGCTTGTGAATTTCAGCTAAAATGCAGCAACAATCAAAATGTCACAGTTGTCCAGTGCCTCTTGCTCGTTTCATCACCCACTTGATCTTGGCACTCAGAAAGATTACTGTGACTTGACCTTTACAGGGTTTTCTTTCTTTTAAATTTAACTTTCTTTCATTCTCAGCATTACTTTCAAGGTCCCTACATATCGCTCCATAGCTGACTCTCTATGTTGGTAGGTGCTTTCCCCCAAATAATGCATGCAGCCTTACCTAGTTCCCTAGAGAAGACTGAATAGGTTACAAATCTGCTTTCTGAATCTTAAATCCTTAGAAGAGGCTTCTTACCTGAGAAATCCAGCCAGGAGCAGAGCTCTCTGTTAGTGTTCATTGGAAAGCTCTACCACTTTCTAAAACCCATCTGTGCCACGATTCAAGATATTTTTAAAGAGAGCTTCCAATAGTCTTCTTTATCAGGATTTTTTAAAGAATGTTTCTTCTCTTCTGATGCTATTTCCACAATAAAGGAGACATCGGGTTCATTCAGACTGTATTGTCAAAAGAGGAGCCAAGGTTTGAAGGCTGGAAACCTTGTCATTTTCACCTTTAAATCATCTCCTGCCGTCACCTCTGCCTGACGAGACCTTTGAAGTGATGGTGAGATAATGTGCAGTTTCCTGATGAGAATCAGTTTATAATTAATGACGGACCATCCCCTCTCCGGTGCATTCAGGGCAGAGTAGGCAGCAAAATGTAGGAGCTGGGCTGCTACACGGTGCTGTAAGTAGCAGGAGTCTGTTTCAATACATCCCTCCTCTGTAAAGTATCACATGTCTTAAAGTGACATTACCTCTATTACAGCTACAGTGGGTTGTACTACCTGCCCACTGACTCTTCCACAACTCGAGCAGCACTGTAACACTGTAGTGCCTGGTACATTAGGTTAGAGATTGTATCAATAACACTCATTTGCCAAAAGAATAAAGAAGGAAGGAGAAACAAAAGCAAAAAGCATTCTGCAAAATATTGATAACGTTAATGGGTATTAGACTTCTAAAGTAAATGGGAAAGTGAAATATGAGCCATTTCTAACCCCTTAATGTTCTTATAACCAATAAGTTAACAAAAAATGTTGGTAAGTTCATATACATTCAAGTCTCTCAAATGTTTTGACAGCTAAATCTGGGAATATGGCATATCTGGAATACAATATAATGTTTATCTGCATAAGCCCAATAAAAACCTTCTGAGTTTTTTTTAACGTGTTTAATAAATAGAAATATGTCATTTCCTGTATTGAAGTTTGGGTTTTGACAAATAAATATGCCGAAAGCGCTATTTTTAAATGTCCCTCCTTCTCAAATAAAATGCTGAGATGGGAAGAGGAAATACTCAAAAGTTTAATATTGTGTTCTAGTGCTAAGGTTTGAACACTTTCTTTGGAAATCTAGTGTGTTTGGATTGTACCTAAATATCAACAATGTAAGGTCACTTATAGACAGCATTGCACCAGCAATGATTCTCAGAAATACTCATTCAATTCTTTCACAAATCTCTTATAAAGCACCTAGTATGTGCAGATGCATGGGGACAAGGCAGAAAACACGATTGACGTGATCTCCATGGTCAAAGATTCTACTATCTAGTCTTTTGTGTTGTTTTGAAAATCTAGTTAATTCTTATAATTTTCCTCCTCAAAAACCTTTTGAAATGCTTAAGAATAGTCTCTTGCCTTTTTGCAGGCATTATAAAGAAGGTTTGCTGCTGTGATGAATATCTGGAAGCCATTGTCTCTTCCCGTTTTACAAACAATGAGAGAGTGTGGGGACCTCCAGGCTCATCAGTCTTTCCCCCTGGTCTTTCTCATTGCACCATGCACGCATAATAGCTCTTTGTAACTTAACAACTGTTTAGTGAATCAGACCAACAAACAAATTCAAGATAACAGTGACTACTCATCTTACAGTTAAAAATAAGTCAAACACCAGAGTTCTACTTGGTATTGTATGTGTCCTTTCTGTGGTTCATTATTGTTGTATTGGTGAATATATATAGAAAGTTGACACAGACTGGGCAATATCAAGACTAAAATAATAATAACATCAGTGGCAGCAGCTAATGTTTGTTAAGCCTTCACCATGTGCTGGTTCTACTCCATAGTATGTTTCCTGTAAGGTGTAATTTAATCCTTTTCACTGACCTCAGAACATATTGCTATTATCAGAGAGGACAGAGAGATTAAGAAATTTGCTGAAGGTAATAGAGCGAGTAAGTGATAGAGAAGATTGCAAACCCCAGTGATTAGCTTAGGAGCCCATCTATTAAATACTGGGATAAAACAATTTCTGGGAAAAACAAACTACATGAAGTTAATTATTACATTATACACTGAGTGGCCAGATTATTATGACCGGCTAGATTATTATGACCACCCCATCAATACAATGAAGTGAATTAGTTATGCAAATAATAATAATAATAAAACCTTGAGAGTATTTGCTTAGGAAGTTTTCAATATTCAGTATTTTTGGAAGTGTCAATGAAGTACTGATGGGGTGGTCATAATAATCTGGCTGGTCATAATAATCTTGCCATTCAATGTACATTAACATTAAAACACTCTCAAAAAATTACTCACTTTTTTAAGAGGCAAATATTGAGTCCCTTCCAGGGATTTGGAAAATAGCAGTGTGGAGACTGGTCTTAGCCCTATGATTGCTCTTGTTTTTGTTCTTGCTATGCGACTGAATTAAAATGAAAAGGAAGTTCATATTTGCTAATAAAGGCTACCATTTTGAAAATCTGTAACCATCCTTTTCTTCATTTCTATGGATTTAATTAAGGCTCAATATAGTTCCTTATCTAGAATTCAACTCATTTTAACAAACTTGAAACATGTTCTATGGATTCTGTTCAAGCCACTCAAATAGGAATTGTTGATAATTAAAATTTTTTAAAAAATTAAAAAGGTTGGAAGAAAGACTTGCCCTTTAAGGTTAAAGTGAATTTCTATCTATGTATGTAATGAAACAAGAATATCAACACTTCCATTGTTTTCTATCAAATACATTGTAGTTGATTATATTGTAGCCAATTATCATTTATCCTAATAATAAAAACATCCATACACATTGATATTTAAGACAATTTAGTCCATTCTCCCAACTAAAAGTGAACATCTCAAAGAAGTGTGGGCCTTTCTACCTTTGCAACTGTAAGCTTGCACTTCCTGATCCTTCATGGTTGGGTGGACTGTAAACTTTCAGCCAATGAGGCACCGCTTTAAAGTTGGAACATTTAAAGGTTGAAGCACCTCTCCCTCCCCAGATCTCTCTTTGCACTCTCAGCCTGGATCCATGCCTGGCTACAAAGAGGAGAGGCCTCCCGTTTCCCATACCAACCCATAATGCACGTACATAATGAACAGGCAATAGTTTGTTCTTTAAGCAATTGAGACTTGGGGGCTATTTGTTATGACAGCATATCCAAATCTATCCTGACTGATGAAGATTTTAGCCAGTATTATTCATATAACATTTTTTATTAAACAATTTTTATGTCCTAGCCACTGTTCTAAGCACTGAGGAGATAGCAGTGTCTACATCTCACCAAGTTCCTACCTTCACTGAGCCCTCCGCAATAGAAATACTTTGGAGGTCTTTTATTGGAGCAGTGTTAGGTCCAAAGCGTTGATTGTTGCAGCCGGAGTATCTAAGAGTTCTCATAAACCAGGAGTTATAAGCTGATCACTTCCGTTGCCCATGAGCATGCTCTGTTCAGCCATTTTGTTATGCAGCACAATATTTCAAAAGGCAAAAGACCAGAGCACCATAGCCCATCCCTCATGCTTAATTCTCATGGAATCCTACCTAATGCTTAATCCCTAAAGATTCACCTTTCAAATACAGTGTCTGCCTAAGTGCACACTTGTGCATACATTACAGAAAGAAAATCCCAATCACCAGAACTCCTCCCTGTGGAGGAATCCACATTCTGTCATAAGAAAGGCTCAGTGAAAGTAAGGGGGGGGGGGAGCTGACACACTCAGAATTCTTAAAGAAACAAGAATATTCAGCAAATTGCCTGCATAGTAAAAGGCAGGGGGAGGAGGAATGGGGTTCCAGTATGTAATAGGGTAGAAATCGGGAGGGAAGAAAAAAATAGTGAGGAGCAGAGAGACAGAGCTAGGGAGAAACACATTAGAGGCGCAGAAATAAAAGCTCTGAGGGCAGGAGTTCCCACTGGGTATATTTTGGTGGAAAAAGATATCCTGTGGCGTGTGACTCCTTCCTGTATCTCTCCAAATAATTATGAAAACCTAGGGGGGGAAATACCCTCACATATACTTTGTAGTAGTAAGTTCTGTGTGTGTGTGGGGGGGGGACCAATGGGAGGGCCCGAATTCTGTATTAAGGCTCAAAGTACCACCATTAACTCCCTCATTCCCATGATTACCACACTTCCCATTTCTTGGCATCTTTAGCTTAGTTGAGGAACAATCCACTTAATAATTTGGCTATTTTTAATTCTCAAATGTGCAGAAAAAAATGAGATGTACAAGATTTTATGTTTGTGCATATTTCTAAATTGAAAAGCAAGTAAGGGAATTTAAATAAATTATATCTGGACTGAGAAACATGCCAACTTTCAGTCAAACTAAAGTGCCTTATATGCACAGCATTTAAACCAGTTCTAAGTATTTCTTGAGAAAACACATTTTGGTTGGTTTTTCACAGCCCTGATGTTTTCTCTTGTTCCATTTAATTGACTAATGTGAATGGAGGCGTGGATAAAAGGACCATTGTCATGGCACCTGACCTCTAATCTCTATGCTTCTGTTTTCTGTAGTAACTGGGGCTGCCCATCAGTTGGTTGACAGTGTGTCTGTTTTAAATCCCTGATGATAATAGATCTTTTCCCTTGGGTAAGTATTAATATTACCCTATCTTTTTTCCATAGCCCAACTGCATAAATCAATTGTGTTATCACCTCTTTTATAGAACTCACTTGAAATATTCCCATCTCTCATGGAATCCTACCTAGTATGTGCCCCATGCCAGATATACAGCAACATCCCTAGCTTGTCAGTCTTCCCTTTGGTACAAACTAGTATACTTCCCTTATTTACAGTGTTATTCTGTACCATGCATTGTTTCAAAATATATTTAAGCTAAGAATTGGAAAAGGATGATGAATAGAAAGCAGATGAAGTACAACAAGAAAATCTGAATAATAATAATCCTATCTAATAAAAGACAAAAAGGATAATTAACCATACTTCCGCTACGCTTTCCATTGGCTAATCAGTGAGATATGCAAATTAACTGCCAACAAAAATGGCGGCCGGCAGCCACGCAGCTGAAGAGAGCAGGAGACTTGCTTGCTCCAGTGATGGAGAAAGCCAAGGTTCCCCGCCTGCTGCGGCCTGGCTCTGAGCTCTGAAAGCAGCAAAGTTTCAATTATCGAAGCTAAACAAACCCCAGGCTTTCAGCCAGCCAGCTGAGCTGGAGTTGCAACAGTGTTTCAATTATAGAAGCCAAACAAACCAGATACCTGCTTTCAGCAGCCGAGGTCTCAGAGCTGGAGCCGCACCTCAGAGCTAAAG